TCACTGCCGGTGACATGTCCGGCTCGATAGCAAGTAAGAGAAGCCTTGAAGCATCTCAGTCTTGGATAATTTTGTTTCCTGCTGGCCTAGCTTGCGCAGCCATGGCCCCGAAGAAGAGCTGCATCCAGTCAAAAACCAAGGCAGTGCAAGAGAAGGCGCTTTCGAAGGAGAAGAAGCTGAAAGTGTTTTGTCTGCAAGCAAGGCGTCTACACTTCAACCTTCCGACCCCCCTTAACTTTAAACATATGATCCCATCAATCAAGCTAATCACATGTCCGAATATTCGTGAACTGAGGACAAGGCGGAGGAAGCCTTGCGCAAAGAGCAGAAAGCGAATCTTGAAGCGCAAGAGAACAGACTGATCACGATGAGGCAGGAGCTCGATGCGTGGTTTGCCCTACGGCCGAAAGCACTGGAACACATCCATCGGGGCTTCAGTCGCTGAGAATTTTAGTTCTTCGTTTTTTTGGGTATGTTTGGGAAAGAAAATAGTACTGTGAAGCTTTAGCGAGCTAGGTTCTTTAAATTCAGTTGAACTTGAGTGAAATGACTGACTGTGATTCATTGTCTTTAGAGCGCACGTGGCATAAAGGTATGGGAAGCTTTGATTCGCTGGACTCCGGCAAGATCGTGGGCGACGACGACTCGTCGGAGCAGAAGCTGAAGCCCTACATGAACAAGTTCCGATTGCTTGGGCAAGAGCAAACGCGACCGCTGCTTTGCAAGATGATTCCCAAAGTGATGTCGTTCTTGGACAAACAGCAGAAGAACTTCAGGTGCAAGATAGAGCGTGCTTTCCTGGCGACCCTGCTCGCGTAGCTTGGCTGTGAATCAGTAGTACATGTAAAACAATCTTTCATTCAAATCTTCTTTGCCTCTGCCGAAGCAAGACAAGTGCAAAACACCTCACTCGCCGTAGGTTCATCACTCACTGCGACGTCAACAGCGCGTTGCCGAGCAAGAGCATGGTCGCGCTTGAGGACTTCATGATGAAGCGCTTCACAGACTACGGCAGCCGGCTAGAAACCTGGGAGCCACGGGGGCCAGAGACGACCTTCCAGGACCTACTCGTTTAACCCGCCTAAGTAAGGCATCCTGCGGCAACATCGTGATTTTCCGCCGCCTGTTCATTGCTCAGCCTCTTAGGCCCATCATGCGGCTGGGGTCGTGAGTCCAAGTCAGTGAAAATTCAAGTTGAATGAATTCGGTTTAACCGTTGCCGTGTTTGTCGGATCGGTTGGCCTTAAATTCACCCAAGCCCAAGAGTCCGCGTTCTCAAGGAGTTCTGTGACGATCCCTCCTGCAGCTACTGGAGGCTGGAGAAGCAGGACGACGGCAAGAGTCAGTTGCGGTACATGCAGACCGACTTGATGTTTAAGCTTCCGCCGGATATGCAGAACATCGACAACATCAAGGTCATGTGCGCAAGAAACTTCAACACATCCTTGAGTTTCTCAGCTGCAATGTGCGAATCTTTCAGATCAAGTTATCTAAGCACGCGCTTCTCTATTTCTCTCGTCTATTCAGAACATGTTGAAACCACTTCTTCCAACTCAGTTGTTCGTTGCATAGCAATTCCGTCAGGTGCTGGGTTGGTGGACATCTCGGTGTTCAAGATCCTGAATTCCGACATCAACGAGGGCAAGACCTTGCCCGAGAGCCCGTTCTTTCTGAAGGAGTGCCCGACGGGTTCCTCCCCCGAAGCCGGTTCTGGTGATGGCAAGAAGACGAAATCGTGGCAGGCGAAATCGGAGACTGCGCTTCAACCGGCAGCTGGGAACGGCAAGAACACTCCCCCGCGGACGCCGAAGCGCAAGATCAATTCCAAGTCGTCGCCTAGCAAGAGTCCGAAGACCCTCGCCGGATCGCCCGTCAGCTCGATCAAGTCGCCAGCATCAGGAGGGCGAGGATCGCCAAAGTAAACTTGACTGAGATTGTTTCAGGGGCAAGAACACAGAAGAAGCATTATTATAAAAAAAAAAAAAAATGCATCGCTGAAAGTTGGTGTCACATGCTTTTGTGTTCTCGGGTTACCCCTGCTTCTGAGTCTTCCGAGACTGTAGGTCAGAGAGCAGGGAAGTATTTCAAGAGCGCCCCGGCCTGACTCTGCCGATTTCCGCTGCCGCTGTTGCTGAAGGCAAGAAATTTTAATCGAGTCCTCGGCCGCTGAACCTGGCAAGTTTTGGCGATCAACCGCCTTGCCGGGCCGTTTGCGATAAAACGCTGCCTTAGTCACTGGCCGCAGAAGTCGCAAGAGAGAAAACGGGTTGCCAGAGCAACAAGCCTTTTGACGCACCTCATTTGTGATTTTACACTCCCGCCCGCCAGGATTCTGCACTTCCTGGACCTGCACTGAACGACTGTCGGGCCCTGGCAAGAATTTTTGCTAATGAGCCAGAGTAACGCAAGAAACTCCGTATTTTTGGAAAGACATTCGCAGGAAATCCCTGCAAGATGCAGAGAAAAGGCGTGGCAAATCATCATCATTTCATCTCGCTGACATATAAACTTCACAGACTATCCGGGGTGTAGTGTCGTAAATTCTTATTGAAGCTTTTAATATACTTGGGAATTTTAACAACATATCAGAACTTTATCTTGTAACCGAACAACCCACGAACCCCTCACTAACCCCCAAAACGTTCGCAGAAGTTCGCCGAAGGGTTTTTGAAAAAACGAACTTCGTCGAAGGGTCAACCTTTGCCTGACAGACCGTTGCCCCCTTCTGCGTTCCCCTCAATAGTATCACAATAGTATGATTCAGTATGATTAATCGTATAGTACAGTAATACAGTAGTACAGTAGTACACTAATACAGTATTACAGTAGTACAGTACTACAGTAATTAGTACAGTAGTACAGTAGTAATACAGTAGCAGCCTGTTTCTGTCTCTCCTCTTCCAGGGCGTCAGTTTGTAGTAGGAGTGCTTCTCTACTTAAACCTTAAAAATTTTAGGACGGGGTTTTAGGACTATTGAGGGGTCTTTATTATTGTGTGCGGGCCGAGTTTAGCTCTATTGAGGGGACCTGTTATTATTGTGTGCCGGGCCGAGTTTAGCTCTATTGAGGGGACCTTTAATAATCACGAGCTCACATTAGGTACAGGATAATAATTCGAAACGTCGGCTGCAAGGTGCTGCCCCAGCTCTCTCACGACTCATTCAGTCAAGGTGGGAAGACAGCTCAAAACAAGCGGTTTCTCATTTGAGATGACTTGCTCAGGCTTTGCCAAAGGAGCGGCCGTGGCCGTGCCTAGGCCAGTCCATCCACAAAACAGGGAAGGGCAGGGGCAGAGAGGGGAGAAGGGGCAGGGAATCGCATTCGACACGATCCGCCCAAAGCGCCAGGCGTGGCGGAGTTCGGTAGGGTGGCACAAAGGAAGGTTTCTGTGCGGGCCCTGGCTTCATGCTCCCCTGAACTACACTACACGGCATCTCAAGCAATCATGTGCCTTCAGCGCACCTCACTGGCAAGGTTAACGTGCAGGCAGGTGTACTCTGGAAAGCCCGGTGTACCCCTTGCTATGAGAGCCTTTGCTCTGTTTCACCTGGAGGGCGTCATGAAACTATTGATGCCTTTACGCTCGTTGCAGAGCCAAACAGAAACTGCCTGAAGTTGCACTCTGCAGCCATTCCATGTGTAATCGCAGTACCCATGAACATGTGTGCGTTCAGGGAATGAATCTCCACAGACGGTCTGATAGGGGATCTTTCTAGCAATAGGGCCGAGGGCCGTGGAGCGATGCAGTCCTTGGGTATTTAGCGAACGGTGGCTAGCTGCCACAAAGGTAGGACAGCCTAGTGCAGGAAACTGAGGTGTCCAGATGATTCCAGATAATCGGCATGCTGCAAACGTCCCAAACGTGAGTCTCTGCACCATGTCTTGTGGAAGGAAGTGTTTGGGAGGCAGAGTAGAGTAGAGAGGGAGAGACTGTACCTCGACAGCATCAGGAAGACATTACACCTCGACAGCATGTGTCGCTGTATTGGCCATGTCTAGCAGGTTGTACTCAAGGAAGTACTTGCATGCAGCAGCTGCCAATGTCGAAGCCATGCAGCCGTCTGAACGTCAAAACCTGACTGCGTCGGTTTCTCGGATGGCAAGATTCATGAGAAAGCACTGTTTGCAAGACGACGCCGCAGGGCGACGGGAATCAAACCAGCACATCATACATCATTATACCGCATCTTACAAGCACGACAGGAAACGGCCAGCAGTGAGCAGTGTGTAGGAGCGCCAGAGTACCACACCGTTGCACACCATATCGTCGAGAAGGCTTCGAGGCAGGCTTGAAGACCCACTCTGCAGTTTGAACCGTAAAAATCGGAACGAAGGTTTCGAGGAAATGCCAGGAGCAGAAGGAGGACTGGACTGAGGAGCAGGGACCAGCAACAGCAGCACTGGTACTAAAAGTAACGACCAGATTAGCAGCAAACACAGCGAGGGTTAACGACATGCAGCTCCATCATACTTTCCTGCGAGGTTGCTGGTCTATTCATGGCTTTAGCCTCTAGATTCAGGCATGTTTGATTTCATCACCCCCTGTGTAGACGGCGGAGGACCATGCCACAGCAGCCAACAGTTGCGCGTCATGTCTGCAGCGACGGCATAAAGCGAGCTGCTGGGCTAACATGTTGTGAAAAGAGGCTGTGCGAAGGCATGTGGGGAGTTGAGCGCTGCGGCAACTGGGAACGGGTTGTAGAGTCACTGTAAACCTTTACCATACTTTTTATTGTTTGGAAGACATTGCTTGTTACAATGTGGCCAAGGTGAGTCCAACGTACATCATCAGATGGCCGCCTGCCACCACCACCCCGGCTTCGCAGCAAAGACCTCTCCAGTTCAGGCCAATCAGCCGCAAAGCGTGTTCGACAAGTCTGAGCTCCTATAGAACGCATCCAGCCGAGCCGGGAAAGAGAACACCAACAATCCTATGCATCGGCGACAGCTTGACTTCCGGAAGTCGAGGCTCATTCTCGTATCCCGAAGAACTTCAAGCGATGCTCGAGCAAGAGGGAATTGACATGAAGGTTTCCAACGGAGGCAACTGGGGTGATACAACCGACCAGATCAGACGACGCCTTCCCTCTTTGATGCAGTCTGTCATGTCTCAGGGCGGCCGCTTGGCATTTGTTCTGGTGCTGGCTGGCACCAACGACTTGTTGCAGCTGCCACCACTTGAGGCGACAGTGAGCCTTTCGATTCCTCGTATTGCAGGAAAAATCAATGAGATTCTCGACATAGCCTCCCAGGCTGCTTTTCATCCTCATGTTGGTATCTTGTCTCTGCCGCCTCTGCTTAGCCGAGATGTCGGCAGATTGAAGTTGAACCAAAGCTTGCGTCAACTATTCGGAGCACCAGGAATGCCACATAGATCCCAGGTGCCAGGAGCGGGCGCCCGCTTCCTGGTAGATCTAGACACTGTGGATGCAGCTCTTTCAACAGACGGAGTCCATTACGGCCAGGAGGGGTACAACCAGTTCGCAAAGCGAGTGATGCAGGTAATTCTGCCAATGTTGAGAGCCGATGCAGCTGCTCATGGACGCCTTGCAGCGGCCTGAAGACCTTGTACCAGGCGAGGCGATGCAAGAGCTCTGCCTGCACTTGGCTTCTGCAGCCAGAGCACTGGTGCTTGCAAGTGCAAGTAGCTAAGCAGCTTGACATATGGAAGAGAATGCGAGCCGCCGCGAGTTGCTGAAGCGCGCCGTGCAAACGAAAGAATCGATCAGAACACATCAGGATTACTACGAAAGGCGATGCCTGCGCAGATGCTTTTCGTAACATGATGCCGCGGAAACACAGACTTGTAGCCGGAAGCCATACGCCCGACGCCATGTCCAATTGGCTTGGGTCCGCCCACGAGCAGGCCATTGCAGTAGCGATGTGGAAGTGTCGTTGAGTCCAAATCGAAAAAGGCGGTTTTCTTTGTCAAGGGTGCCATGGCGCCATCAGCTGCTTGCACAAGGTTACGAATGCCCTGGCCAGTGCGCCAAGCCTGCAAGATGCTGCTGCGAAGTTGGGCATTGGTGACTTTTCACAGCCTGGCTCCCAGAACGTCCCAGATCACCGCTGCGACCTGCTTGCGACGTGCGCTTGCTCAGGTGGGCAAGTGCGAAGGCCTTTGACCTGCACTCCCAAGCACGTGAGCAGGCGCTGCGGGCTCGGATGGGCGGGAAGACGAAGGGAGCCCGAAGGGAGCGCTGAGGGCGGGGTGGGGAAGGTGGGTTGGTGCAAAGGCGAACAGGAATGACAGTGCTTGCCCTGTTCTGAATCGCATGCTCGGTGTCTGCAGCACAGTGCAGTCTGCTGATCGACATAGTTTTGCAAGCTGTGCACAGGCGAAGGAGCTTGTCAAGGCAAGAATGAAGCACGAGTTTGGACCAGAGATCCTTGATATGCTGAACGCCCTCTCGGATTGCACGCGGAAAATCTCAGAGGACAGCCTACATGAATTGCACATCACTGGGTGACGATAGATGTGCTGAGTTGGTCTATGCCCTTGCCAGCGGCACTTTGCTGCTGAAGCTCGTTTGTGAAGGAGTTGAAACTTCAAAATGCGAAATTTGGCATCACTTTGGCCCTTCCTCTGGTCCTTGCCTGATTGATTCGTCTCAGGACATGCCACGCTGGTGTGCTGACTTTTTGTTTCGATCTCTCCAGTAGAACCTTATTTGGCCAGTCCCAGGTGGCCGTGCAGCACAACGTGCTGGACCCACCCACATGCGAAGGACCTTCCAGAGGACAACGTGCCATCCGAAGTGCGGGAAGTGCCAAGCTGAGGACTGCTGCTGGATGCCACCGTGGTGGCAGAAGCCAATCATTGGGCAGGAGCCTCGATGAGGCAGCACAGCCTTCAGGACATGGGAGGTTTGCATCGAGGTTTGCTTCTGCATCATTTGCTCACAAGACACCCGACCGTGGATGGAGGAAATCTTGCACTGTGTTTAGGTCAACTAGCCTCACTCCACATCCTCTTCCTGATATTGTTATGAGCACGGGGCTGTGCAAAATCGTTCCAATGACATAAGTCTTGCACCGTCGCAAGAGATCCGTCGTCCATCTGAAACAGGGGGTGCGGGGTCGTCGCTTGGAGGTGTACCCGAATCAGAATTTGTAGTCCATGTCCGCGACGAGTCCACGTCTTTGCCAGTGGAGAAATGCAGCCCTGACAGTGGATGTTGTACAGAGGCCCGGTCATTTCAAAATCGCAAGAGTGAGCCACGGGTATGCAACGACAATAGCTTTGCTATGTCTGGCACGAGTTTTCGGTTAACGTTCAGTCAACGTTGAGTTAACGTTCAGCCAATTGCGAAAATGCTGGCAAGGGCAGCATTTTGGAGTTTTCAAGCATCGTTTTGTATTTCTTGCTGTCTATACTTGAACACTCGAACATGCTGCCCCCCAGCACTTTCGCAACGTCAACGGTAGCTTTGACTGAAAGCTGACTGTAACGTTAAGTGGAGTTTCTAACTGTGACTCCGGCAGGGCATCCAGGACAGACTGAGGGTACCACTCGCTTTCCATGGCCATGGCAACCTGCGCCCCGAACCAGGTTTGCCCAGCGCTGTCGCCCTGTCTGGAACTCTGCACTAGGTAGGACAGCTGCAACAAAACCAAAGCTGCACCCCGATCTGGGACCCTACTGAACAGAATACAGCTCGTCGAGCTTCAAGAAATAATCACCTTGCCACCTCTCTGTAGTCTGGAGAAACGAGATTTTTCCCAGCAGCTCTAGCTCCGATATGATTTTTTCGACGTCATATTGCACCTGTCTCGTCTACGACAGCTTCACTTGTTGGGAATGTCACAACTGAGTTACATTCTGTCCAGCACGACACCAACATCTGATTCAAGCTGATGGACATTTCTCTCAGGTTGATTTTGCTCAGGGCGCCTATGGCACTTCTGACATCAAAGGATACGACAAGGCCCGTGTCACACAGTGGCTGGCATTTGGGTGAGGGAATCTGCGGGGCGGTAGAGCTATGCAGAGCTTGGAGTCTGGAGGCGAGTGTGATTAACGCCATCGAGCAAAGTGGTGGTGACAAGTGCCTCGGCTCGCTCGGCTCTCTCGGCTCGCACTGCTGCTGCTGCTGCTGTAGACCCATAACAGCGCCGTCATGTGACGGTACCGGGTCAACTCGCACGTCGGTCTTGCATGCAGGGCTTTTAACCTTTGGGCTACACGTGATATGGTACTAGTGCTCGCAAAAAGCTACCGGCTGTACGTGTAGTGATGACATGTCTAATCACAACCGTTAACGTACCACTCATGGTCTGTACGACTTGGGACGCCGCTGGCCCCGACCGTCCCGAGCGCCTCCCTCAACGTCGTTTGGACGATGGGAATCGCAGGACCTGTAAGGTCGCAGAGCTGGTTAGCTGCACGTAAACGATCGTACTCCCCATCTAGCGGCGCAAAATTGACGAGAACGACGAGAAACTGTTGTCCTAACAGATACGCACTAAGTCAGCTGCCGTAGGCATGCTGCGACTGGTCCCCGAACGTAAGCTGCAGTCCAGGGGAAGTCTCTGCTCCTGTGCTGTTGAGCCGAGCGGAGAAAAAGAGCGGCGCGGCGAAACTGTCATGATCCAGTGCATGGTTCAGGGGCAAGACTTGGCAGGGCTAGGACTCGGGGGGCGATGAAAGAAGACGTGCCAGCAGGCGTCAGTGTTGTTGTGTAGTAGGGTGTGGTGTGTGAGGTGTACCGTAACATGACGGAGCACGGAACATCGTAGCAGGCGAGTTTCGACTGGCGAAAACACGAGGACCGAGAACACAGAGAAACATGTATGACACGTACGATGGCCCTTTGAGCGCCAGAGGACGCAGGCCCGAGTAGCGCCAGAGGACGCTGGTGCTTGTGCCAGAGGACGCTTGCACTCTGTGTGTGTGTGTGTTTCCGCGACGGAGCCAGCCATCGTGTGGTGCGTCGCACGTGTGCTGTTAGATTGATGCCTTCGCGTGTGTGATCAGAGAGACCTGCGTGATCCTGCGTGAAAAGCCGGTGTGTGATGTGTGTGCGGGTGGAAAGATAGTAGCCTCCTGTCCGTTTGAGCCCTATGAACGGATTCGTAAGCAACTTGTGTGAGTTCTGTGGGGCGTGAAAAGAGCCGAGCCGGGTTGAACCCACCAGGTTAATTGGAATGTCGGCGCCCACCCGCCATCCCCGGACAAGATGACACAAGACAGGAAGACCAAATGCCCCCGAGGGGACATAGGTCCAACGCCTGACTTGCGGTATGTCATCATGCCCGTTTGCATCTCGTCCTCCCCGAAGGGAGCGCCCCGTGTGGGGAATGACGTTAGCCCCGCGCAAGTGCGTGTTATGGATGTGTAGCGGGAAGAAAACGTACATTCACGCACTTTTGGTCCAGGACCTTGGCCACGATCCGAAACGATTCGAGAAAACGAAGAGGCAAACGAGTCGTCGAGCGAGAAAGGCGAGATGAGACGAGACCGCCAGCGTTGGAGCCTATGGGACCGCGGCGCTGTCGAGATTGACAGGTCACGAGGGGTAACGAACGCGGGTTTCCAGGGGGCACCACGTGGAGGTTTGATGCATGCCGAAGGTTCCTAGCCTGATCGGAACCTCCCCCGCTGCGTCCCGTGTGTGGGTCGCACACTGGACGTGGTGAGCATGCGTATCTACAAGTGCGACGCATCTACCAAACTCGCTCGCACTCTGAGCACACAACGCACCTGTGTCCTTCGTTTTGCAGTCGTCCACACCAAGCTGCTCGCACTGTGTCCACCTCCAAGGCGTGGGATCGAAGTGAGAGTGGCGAACCTGCCGGCCCAAGGCGAGAGTGCTGCAGTGCTGCGTGCAAGACGCAGTTGCTGGTTGCTGTCATGACTGCAAGGGGTCCAAATGCCGGGACATTATGTGGCATTGGACAGGACTGCAAAGAGGGCCGAGTCGAACTTGCTTGGATGTTTGTACTGTGGTTGCCCTCAATCGGATCGAGCTCCGCCTTTGTCGATTAAGCAAGCGACTGCTTTCGGTGGTCATGCAGTGGATGCTGCACCTTGAGGTTGTCCCAGTGTCACTGAGTTGCTCTACGATTTTGAGCCCTTGCGCATTTTGCTATGGCATCAGAAGAAGCTAAGCAGCTCTACAATGGTGTGCCCATTAATCTTACCGGCAAACTCTTCTGTGTGTGTGCCGTATGTCATAGCCAACAAGTGGACATGCCTTGCTTGGTGCTGCTATCGGAACCTTGATGTCAGCTGTCGCGACATTGGTTTGAGGACAAAGCGAGCCGTGGTGCTGGGCATCCGCGGAACCACGACTTTGTGCGACGCACTGACTGATGCAGTGGGTGATGCCGCGAAGGCACTTCCCATAACTCTTCCAGTGGCGGTGTTTCAAGATCCTGCTTGACTTCAACAAGAAGCCGTGCTCTTGTCCAGGTTCCGGAATGTCCCGGGCTTCTTGCCCATAAAGCAATGCTGGTCTGAGCCTTTGACAAGGCAGCCTGACGATCTGCCTTACTGTTTGCTTTTCCCCCGCAGGCCAGCGCGCGTGCTGTTCTGGAGCGAACGAGGTCGGCTCTGAACGAAGCGCTGAGAGAAAACTCAGGCGCAGCACAGCGTTTCCATTGGCACAGTCGATGGTGCGCCTCTGTTTCGGTACAGGCTACAGCCTTGTTATCACCGGGCACAGTCTTGGAGCCGGCACTGCCATACTTTGCACGATCCTTCTCAGTGCTCGCTTCTCAGCATGATACCAGCACAGAGCCTCTCCGGGCGGGTTTTCAGCTGCAGAGGTCAATCCTCTTGATTCTCGGCCTGCCATGAAATGCTGGGCTTTTGCGCCGCCACCTGTCGTTGGGCCTCTAAATAGCCCAAGTCTGAGAGCCACTCAGCTGCAAAAAAGCCAGGGTTTGGTCAGCAGTATGTTCATGCGAGCATGTGCTTCATTGAGCGCTTCAAGTTTGAACGCAGCATGGTGAGGCTTTGGAGATTCATTCGTTCATCAATCGTGCAGACATCGCGTGAATCTCGGAGAGGGCTTCGGTCGAACATTGCCGAGGGCAAGAGCGGATTCTTCCGGACAGGTGCCACGAGCAAGTCTGGCCAACGTTTTCCACCTGGGTGCGAGACTCAAGATTTGATTGTGCCTGGGATCTTTCTGTACCTGCATGGCAACGGACTGAGGACAAGAGTGTATGGCAGTGGATGGATTGGAGATGGACTTTTTACACCGCTTCATCCTCATGCGGAGAGATCCGAATCCCGAAAATGAGGCAGAAAAGCAGGCCTGGCTGAGAAAGCAGCAAACGTACAAGAACCTGCAAGCATCAGCCAGGCTCTGCAAAAGGTGATGGGGTCAGTCCACGATTGCCGACAACAGCGGAAGCAGAAGGACCATGAGCTCGACCCCCAGGATCCGATGGACTGAGAGCTTTCTTTCGGAAGCGGAGCTCGCGAGGTCCTTCCCTCCACTCTTCGTTCCTGGACAGGTATCCAGTGGTATGAATTATGCTTTCCGCATCGATGCGTCGAATAGGTTCCCAGCGGACAGCATTTCCCAACACCGAAGGTGTACTGGATCGAATGGCTGGGTAATTCTGGCAGCGTGCAGGACCTGTTGAGAGCATGGCTGCGGTGTGTGCCACATCTGAAGTCATGCAACCAGGACACACCCGAGGCGACTGCGGAGAGAACGCCCAGGAGAATCGCGTTGTTAGGAAAAGCATGAAGTCCGCTCGCTAACTGGGATACATCGTGCAATCCCGCCGTCAACCTTGTCGTCGGCATCAAAGCTGTAGCAGTGGAAACGTTGCGGGTTTACTGTAATTAGCGAGGTGAGCTTTTCGGCTCCGACGACGCAGGGGCCATGCTAATCTTCTGTATCGTATCGCGTGAATACTCCTGACATGTTTGACACTCGTCTTTTGTTCTGTCAGTCAGCTGATGCCGCGAGTATTCGTATTCAGGGGCTGCGCCAAGGGGGGCGGGCAACGCCGTACGTGGCCGGCACTGCAGCAGTACTGCTGCACCCTGAAGTGAAATACGCGGGGATCTCGTAAGCCAGCACGATAGCAGTCACCACAGAGCGCCACAGCAAGTCAGCAGTGGGTTGGGGGGAGGGGCTCGATCGATCCATCGCCAATTTGGGGGGGGGGGGGAGGGCAACAAGGGAGGTATGCACCTCGGAGCCCACCCAACACGCCCCCCAGTGTCGGCGGATCGTCATCGCTGCAAGTTCTGGATCTGGCAATCGCGGTGTTTTTTTGTTCTGCTCGTGGTCGAGTAGCCTCCATCACCAACGTCTGGCTCCAACCTCAGGTCATAGCACATACAAGAAGCGCTGCTCCGCCAATTGAAAATCGATGTGTACTCTGAGCATGAAAGCTTCGTGAGTCGGACCTGTTTCCGGTCAGCATCCTCCGACTCCCCAATCATGTTGCCTTTCGGATCCGCTGCTCGCAAAACTCGCTGCTGTTGCAGAGTCCGCATGTTGTGCAATTGCAAGTGAGGCTGGAGCCAAAAGCCGCTCGTGACAGATTTTGTTGTTTAATCGGTGTGTGTGTGTGTGTGTGTGTGTGTGTGTGTCTGTGTGCGCGTGAGATTATTCCACGGGCAAGTTCATTTGCCAACAGGCTTTGCGTGAAGTCGCACCTCGGAATTGACAGTCACGAAGCTGGTACTGGAAACCTCGCTGCTTGTGAGTTGATTTTTAGTCTCAGCTTGGAGCAATAAGCTGAGCGAGCGAGCCCATGAAGCTTCAGTTCGGCATGGAAGTTCGGAATCATGGGATTATGCCGAAAAACCCAACGTGCAAGGACGATTCTCGAAATCGACAGTTACAGTAGTTTTGGTGTGGGGCGAGTGGTAGTGTAAAGCAGTGTTACATTGGTTTCACGAACGGGGGTGTCCGACCACAAGCGAAGGGTTCCAGAACAAGGTCAAACGACATTCGGAAGTCTGTGTGACCTACTTGGCAGTGGCGTGCCAAAATACGCATACCACTAAACACTAAACATATTGGGGACAAATATTTTTTTCCCAATATGTTCTGTGCCGAGAATCGTTCGGGACCAGAGTTTCGAAAGGAAAGAGTCAGCACAAGATGATTGCAGTGCTGGGTTCTTTGGGATCATAGCAGTTGTATGCACTTCGGCTGATTGGAACCAGATGGAAGCAGTAGCTGCAAAGAGCCGATGCAATTTGCCGACGGAAATTGGGAAGCCTGTGCCCTCTACGCATCATGGCTCAAAACAGTGCAGAGTGAGTCCTTACGGATCCGTGCAGGATACACATGGCTTCTGCTACCGAGTTCCAGTGCTTTTCGGCCTGTTTCTACTGTTTGCGCTCCTCGAAGCCCTGCGATCTGGCCAGGTCCTTGCTGCTGCGTGGAGGCACGAACGCCCTGAAGGACCACTTGTGCGAAGCCCAGCAGACGCCCTCTTTTTGCTCTTCAGGTGAAGCCGGCTTTGCTTCTGCGCAGTTCGTGCGTGTTTTGCTGGTATAAGCAGTGGTATTGCTTTTTGAAGTCTAAAGGTGTGGCAACTACAAAGAAGCCCTGGACAAGTACAAAGTTCACCTGCAGGCTTAGCTGCAACGCGGTCAAGCTATAACGAATCCCGTGGGGTCCGGCTTTGGGACTTGCTTCCTGCGAAAGGTGAACAACGGTTGCTTTTGCGTGGTCAGCTGACGCACCGGGCTCCTGCACTGGTAGTTTTTGTCAAATCTTTGATGCAAAGCCATCGAAAAACACACTTGGAGCAACACTGTTCTGATTGCTTTGAAAAGCCAATGTGTTCCCTGCTTCTTGAGTTCATGGATGTGAGCATGCACCACAAGACGAGGTATTCTTGCAGTCGGTGGTACGATTTTACCAGAACTGCATGGGGTGACATGATGTGAAGACCTTCACACAATCCAACAGTGGCAGTGAAACCTCGCAATTCCTCCAAGGCAGCAGTCTAGCTGCTTTGGTTGCAGATCCTGTTTATGTAACCCAAGGTAGACAGCACTGATTTCCCACCGCCGTGAAGCAGAGTTTGCCTTACCGTGAGCGGCAGCATCTTGAATCTTGACACAAGCATGTCTCCAGCAACCAGGCGACTGAGGGCTTATTGCAGCGTCTTGCTCTTCCAAGTATCCCCTTGCTTAGCGGCTGGTTGCTTTCGCTGCAGGCCAGCAGACGGATCAAAATCAGTTCAGGTCACGAAGCTGAGCAACCAGTGCCCCACTCTGTCCAGTTGGAAGATGCTGTTTTGAAGTATGCTTCTCAAAACCCGGCACCCTTACACTACACCCAGGATATCGCGACACTTCAAGCAGTTCGGTCTGCGCAAGGCGGAGCTGGGCTGGCGCCTACCTGCCACCAAAAATGCTAGTTCTTCCTAGAATCGCCCCAGGCAGAGTTCAAGAGGCAGAAATCTCTCCTCATCGAGAAAGAGCTTCAGGTTCCAGCTCTCGCTAAAGGCAGCGTCGGTGTGCCTGTGATGGCTTCTGTGGAGGCCCACTTCAAAGCCAAGCACGAGACGGAGCGTGCGGAGGAGGGGCCGATACTGCTACGCAGCTGCTACGGCTGCAAAGGTGTCAGTTGCGCGTTTAATCTCTGGACAGGGAGATGCTTCGGAAAGACCCGCGGCTTGGCAACAACGACCGTGCAATGTGCCAGATCGGGATAGGTCGAGCCTCAGTCAAGCCTACCTCTGTGCGGCTGGATCAAAACCTCGTCGGAAGGCGCTGGCCCCGCGACCTTTCGACTAGGACGACCTGCAGTAGGATTACAGGGCAATGGAGTTGCTGTGTGGCTGCAGAGGAATCTTAATCAGTGGGCCTTGTCATTCTTTCTCATAGGTAGACGAAGGCTCGGTATCGTCCGAAGCCGTGTAGATAGCTTCTGATTACCAGCTTCTTCGCGATCCTATAATCACTTCCCTCATCTCATGACCTCCCTCTTCCGACAGACCCCTGATCTGGCTCTCCAGCTTCCAGTGCGTTGACATGCTCGAGAGATTTTGCAATTTCTTTCAGCTCCACCCTTCACCGCAAGAAGGTGAACATCCGTGCTGCCCGATGAGTCGTCGTCATGACTGTGTCTGGACTGAGGCATCAAGCCCGGCGGCCAGCCCGACCAGCAAGGCTAGGGGTCAGCCGCGAGCTTGATGGAGCGTCTCCGAGAGGGTAGGAAGCACGCCGACTTTCTCATGCTGGTTGAAGCTAGTGATGACTTCTTGGGCGCTGTATCGTCATGCAGCCCACATGTCTTGGCTGCAGTTTGTCAGCGCGAGGCGTGTGAATGACCACGGAATACTGTTCAACAGCTTTGAGTATAGTCTAGTAGACCCCAACTCCTACTCCTACATTGTGTCATGCTCCTACTCCGACTGCTGCTGCTGCTGCTGCCGCTGCTCCTCCTCCTCCTCCTCCTCCCCCTCCTCCTCCCACAACGACAACAACAACAACTACTACTACTACTACTACTACTACTACTACGACGACGACTACTGCTACCAGTACGACGACGACGACGACGACGACGACGACTACTACTACTACTACTACTACTACTACTACTCCTAAGCTACCACGACTGCGCCTTCCCACAAATGTTGATAACCAAAAAGAGTGACCGCACGTTCTTGCAGAATAGCGGACCTCTTTTCCCAGCACACTGTACTACTACCACTACGACGACGACGACTACTACTGCTGTTACTACTACTACTACTACTACTACTACTACTACTACTACTACAACAACTACAACTACAACTACAACTACAACTACAACAACTACAACACCAAGCACCGCTAGCACCACACCAGTCACCAGCCACCAGCCCACCAGCCCACCGCCCACCAGCCCACCAGCCCACCAGCAAACCAGCCCACCAGCCCACCGGCCCACCAGCCCACCAGCCCACCAGCCCACCAGCCCACCAGCCCACCAGCCCACCAGCCCACCAGCCCTCAACAGCACCAACCGGCACCAACCGGCACCATCCGGCACCAGCAGCACCAGCCCAGCAGCACCAGCAGCACCAGCAGCACCAGCAGCACCAGCAGCACCAGCAGCACCAGCAGCACCAGCAGCACCAGCAGCACCAGCAGCACCAGCAGCACCAGCAGCACCAGCAGCACCAGCAGCACCAGCAGCACCTGCAGCGCAGCAGTATCATCAGCTGCAGCTGCTGCTTTGGCCGCCTTCTGGCTGATCATCCTCCAGTGGTTTCTGACCGTGGGCCTCGCGCACGGAAGCACAAGAGAGCCGACACAATGCGTGTGGGATTTCGTTCCGTTCAAACCTGGCAATTGTGTAACATGGGTGTGACTAGTTGGCCCACGCTGAGGTCGCCGCTTGCGCAGGCGCTTGTGCTGAACGAATCGCGCGGAATTAAAAGGTCGATCTCTGGCTTGGCTTGAGAAGGCTTACATGCCACCTGCTTCACCTGGGAAAGTGTCCACTCGTGATCTCAGCGAAGCTTGCTGGAACCATGCCGGCCACTCTTGTCAGAAACCAGTGCCAAGTTTGAAACAGTTGAAGCCAGGTTTTGCAGCATCCCACCCGGTGTGGATGCATCCTTGCATCCACCCTGGCGCTGCCAGTCAGAGGCGTAGAAAGTCGTTCGGCTGGGCGTCCGTGCTTCGAAAATTCGACCTTTCCGACCAGGCCAGCCTCGCAGGGCTCGCGGATTCGCTCAACAAGTGGAGCTTCGTTCCCGTTCGGTCCATCGGAGGGCTTCCAGGCGGCTGAGATGCAGTGGTTGCATCTCCTTTAATCGTGCATGGAAGTGCAGCAGACGCTAGTGGAGCCAGACACTACGGATCCAAGCGGCTGGCGCCCCGAGATTTGGCACAGGCGCACTTCTCCTGCCTCACGACTGCTGTCTCGAAGGAGACAAGTCGGAAAAAGCGGATCTCGGTCTCACTTCTACGTCGTCGTTGGCAATTTCCAGATCTAGGCCGGCACCAGACACTCCCTATTCTGAAGGCATGCTGAATGGCTGAGGCGGGCGTCTCCGAAGAAGCCTCAGGGAGGACTATTCTTTGCAGGTCGAACGGCATGCCCTTGTTGCCGTGCGCATGCTGAGGAGTGTATTAGTATAGTTGTTTATCATGAATTACCGACTCGATTAGTAGATCAGTCATGTGGGTCATGGTTTCGCAATGTTTCGCCCCTACCAGGAGCAATGCAGGGTGAGTCCTGTGAGGCTAAGTGCCAAAGTGACGACCCGGCCAAGCTACTGGCTGAGCAAAGACCCGGAAGAAGCAGAAACGGCAGTGATCGTGGCAGTGGTCGTGGTCGTGATTGTGGTCGTGAGTGGGGGTAGTGGTGGTAGTGGTGGCAGTAGTGGTAGTGGTGGTACTAGGTCGTGGTCGTGGTTGTGGTCTTGGTTTTGGGCGTGGTCGTGGTGGTCAGTGGTGGTTGTTTTAGTTGGAAAGGCGGGGAATTCTTGTTTTTGGCCAAACAAAAACCCCCTTCTCACCCGAACAAGAATCGGCCCATACCTGCTCCATCGGGACGGTCTCGTGGCAAGGAGTATCGGACAAAGCATTGTCAAACTATCATGTCGCGAGTTTGTCGGTGTTGGCGTGACGGTAACGGTCTTGTGGCAGGTCAGCTCGAGACTGCCGAAACTGAGGAAGACCGCTTGTTCGGCACGAGCAGTCGCGAGGAGGGGCAAAGCCTTGGCTCGGCTCGTGGAGCGAGTCGTGTTGTTTAGTTTGATGTTACTTGTCCTGTTCCCGCCCTTTCTCCCTTCCTCCCTTCGCGACGGTTACATACACAAAGCTATAAGCAAACGATGTTGCACAGCAAAAACAAGCTTGGCCTCACGCCACGGCTGATACCAGCGAAAGAGACAGAGAGAGAGAGAGAGAGAGAGAGAGAAAACCAGTGTGAAAGCATGCAGGAAGAGCTTTTCCAAGCTGTCGAAGAAGAAGCTGCTGCCTTGAAAGCGAACTGGGAGACAGGCCCTGACGGGAAATAATCAAGTGGCGTGCTTTTACAGTCTCATCTCGAGGTCTGAAGCAGGACCCGCTCGGGCCTTTATATACCTGACCGCCAGATCCTGCCAATTTCACTTCGCTCTAAGGCCGGAGATTATCGAGCGTTTAGGCGACCTCATGGCGCTCTTGGGGCCAAGGTGGGGCAGAGGATGGCAGAGGGCGGAGTGGTCAGCCGGAGTTTGTAGGACGACAGGGACCGGGAGCTCTGTCCGCAGGTACCGCACTCTGTCGCGTGAAGCTGTGTGGGAAAAGGCTCTGGCTCTGGTCTCGGCGTCAGCTTCGTATGTTCTTTCGGAAATCAAGGCTTTGTTGATTCCCAGGCTGGTGGCATGACGGCATTCGAAAGGCGTGAAAAGCGCCTCGGCGGTTGCAAGCTCAGACGTTCCTCACGATCTTGAAAGGCCCCCAATGCCTGAAGAGAGCAAAACCGGCTATTCCCAAGTTGCCGTGCTTGCCTTGACAAGTTTTTCGAGCGGGGTCCTGCATGATCTAGCAGCAAAGGCCAATCGCGGTGGTCATGTTATGTCATGTTTGCATGCACAGGAGGACGTAGCACTGGAGACAGAAAAAGACAGCCCCCACACGGGACTTAGCCGCAGTGAAGTTTGGGTTTGCACTGCAAGCTTGCGGCTGCTTTCATTGCCGGGGTGTGGCCACGGCACGGAGACACTCCACGCCAGATCTGAGCCGACGGAATCCGCCGGACCTTGGGACTGCCTGGGGGCAGAGGAGATGAGCCTCAAGTTCGGATTCAGCAAGCAATCACCTAAACAGACCCCGAAGCCTGACCAAAGGGGACCCGGCGGACGAGCTGAAACACCTGCGACATAGTGCATTCCAGTCAGGTCCAGACGATCCCTGCAAAGAAAGTTCGAGGTGGCAAGGCAACCTAGAAGCCTCAGCTGTTCTGGGTGGATGAAGAGAGAGGAAAGGGCACAAAGAAGGAATGCCAGTACGCAGGACTAAACTTCTGCCCGACAACATACCCTGGATTTAGGGAGTTAGCCCGCCTGTCCAACGGTGTGGTAATACCAAGAGACCAAGAGGAAGGAACACGTGCAAGCCATTCCAAGTCCTCCGTGATCCGTGCTCCATGGTTGAACATGGTACGGACCTTCCTTGGTACAGATTCGTGCGACGCTGCAAGACACAGAGCATGTAACGCATCAGGGCTCTTGCAGATTGTTCTGCTGGGCTGTTGGGGATGCGAAACAAGCATGCCTCTGCCTCGCGTTGCACTACGCCTCTTCATCAGTTGGGTACGCCCACACCAAAAAAAGAAGGACACTTGCCGTGGTGCGTCGCTTGGAGTCTGCGACTAGACTTGCATGTCGAAGACGGACGCGACTAGAGCAACTTCAATCTTCTGCCTCATGAGCTTTGGGTCTTCGGAGAAGACATGTCATTCTCGTGCATGAAATGCAGAGCCCTTTAAGCACAAGTGACTGGTGGACCCCGTTAGAAACACAACGTGCGTCACGCTTCATTGCAATTTGCTCTAAGCTGCAGCCGCCTCAGCGCTGTCGGGACACGCTCGCAGAGGCCCACGTTCTCTTCTTTTGTTTGAAATTAGACTAGAAGTTCAGACTTTCGCAGGTCAAAGCAAAGGAAGGCAGGTGACACACAACTGCACCGTGAATTCCGCCAGCTTCGTTTTGAAGGCCTCCGAGCCCAGAGAGGTTGCAGGACTACGATCCGGATGGGAGTGCCAGGCGGGAAGTTGACAATCTTTTGCCTGCTTCTTGGGCCTTGGGGCTCTGGCTCTCGAGGGCGGCATGGCTGCAAGCACGAGATCGGGAGCAAGAGTCTGGGCATGGCAAGGCGAAAGCACTGCGAAAGCCCTTGGACTTGCCGTGACTTGCCATGCCAGGCTCTGGGACGACGCATCAAGTCAGTGCGGGGCCAAAGAGACCTTTCGTTTCGATGGCAACCAGCGCTCCACATGCGAAGCTGGTGGACAGTGGCCGCAGATGAACTGTGGAGTAGAGCATGGGGGGCCATGCAAACCCAACAAGTTATGGTCCCCGTCATTCTTCCGAAGGTTTTGATTTGTGTCAGCTACAGCAACACAAACCGTAACAGCAACGCAATCGCGAAGGCATCGGGGTCGGCAACAGCCACAACAACAGCAACTCGTCACATTTTAATTGCCGCTCTTTTGTCCTGATCTGACGGACCGACGCACCGATGGACAAACGTGCTTGGCAGATCCTCACTGATTCTGGTGCAGAGGACGCTGCTGACCTGGCATATCTGTTTTTTCGTCTGAAGATGAAGCTCGGGAGTGGGCGGTCTTGCAGCGGCGGTCTTGCGATGCTGATAATTCTGTGGCTTCCTGAAGTACCCTGAAGTATTGTTCGGCGACTTGTCTATGAGGATCGGTCCGTCGTAGATCGCATTTTGGTTTGCTGAAGTGGCTCGCCCGCGGCCAGTGGAACCTGCAGCTGCGGCTCATCTTGCTAAGCGGCGGCGGATGTGGCGTCAGAATCAATTCAAAAGGACCCGGAAACTTAACCGACTGAACCCCCCCCCCTCATTCACCGTAAGGCTCGCCAGTTGGAAGCATTCGGAAGGCAATATGATATGAGAACCGACATAAAACGACAAACCGCATCCCCGTTGCATTGTAAAGCCTGCGAAGTGTTCGAGTTGTAGGCATTCAGGAGAGAAGCTGTAAGAGAAGTGTTCTTGCTCTAGCCTGAAAACTGCTCATTTACGATATCTATGTCTGCCCGGGATCTAGGACTTTTCGAAATCTTAAACAGGAAGAGCGCAGTGAATACTAGTGATGTCGCGAAATAACCGCTTGTTGCAATCGGATAAACTCCGAATGTTAAAATGGCTCACGATTCCTGAACCTTTGCAAACGTGGTGTTCGACATACAGAAACAACAAAAAACGAACCAGGATTACCCGTGATTGCCCGTGCGACTGCAACGTTGCAAAATCTGACCACTCAACAGCGAAGCTTGCAGGCACCAGAACTGTTGCAAGTCACGGTGTAAGGGATCGCAAGTCGCGAAACGAAATCGTAGCAGAGCAAAGCATGTTGGTCCTGCATCAATGAAAGCAAGGCGTCCCGCTGAAACACCCTTCGCAAAAGATTTCCGGCGGCGGTTAGCATGGCCGCTGCCAAACGGACATTTGGCCAGGGGTAAGTTGAAAAAGGCGAGTGCCGAAACCAGTACTGGCGTAGAGCCCTGTTCCGAAAGAGGCACAACAGGTCGCAGGCGGCTTAACAATCCATGGTGTTTCATGGTGTTGAGGAAGCTGCCTGAGACTGCACGCATCGTGACTGCCTCTGACTCTGCATGCATATGACGTCTGAGGTTTCAGCCCTGGGATCGTCCGTGCAGCTCCCGCTTGTTTCTTTCTGACAGACTGGGAATTGCACAGGATCATCATTGATAGTATTCCAAGCCTGATGTAAGTGGCAAGGCTATGACAATCCCACCAGCAGCAGACAAAAAAGAAGATTCAGCAAGACGCGGTGCCTCTATGCAGCAGGCCGATTTACCAAAAGGTAAACACGGCCGTACCTTTTCGTTATTCCGAAACACAGCTTGAGGCTCACCGGAACTGATTCGGAAGTTGCTGTGGAAAAGGTGTGCCAGATTCACCTATGGCCAGTCGAAAAAGCATGCCGTTTTGAATGAACTCGTTTGATGCTACATGGCTCAGCGTTTCACATCCGATGGTCGAGAAAGCTTAAATACAGGTTTGAAGAGCGGTCTCGTCATTGTCGCGGCGTCCAGCCATGAGCCATGGTTATGGTAATACGGTAGACTCTTAAAGCACCTAAATGTTCCGATTGAGCTATGCCAAACAAAGAGTAAGCGAACGCGGTTGCGCCGAATGTGCCCTTGCAAAGCAAGCCACTTCCAGCGTCGCCCAGACCGCACCGCGCCGGCCTTGACTTGCAGTGACCCCGGTTTGGGAGACTGCCATGCAATTAGGACTCACGTCCTGTGTGACAGTGATCCAAGGACGGAGGTTTGCATGCCATCGGGGACAGGTGGGCCAAATCGAGCTCTTGCAGCCGTTCAAAACCACATGAAAAGGCTTGACACAGCGTACAGTGCATCAAGACGATGGCAAGCCGGAGAAGGCAGTCTTGCAGCTCAATGATGTTTCCTTTAGTGCAGGCACTAATCTGATATACTTCCGTGGCCTACGCCTACACTTTCCCGTGTTTCCGCCTACGGTGTGCTTTGTTTCTGATTCTTGTCCAGGATTCTACAACAGTGAATCTGGTCTCCTCGCACCTCCAAGGTTGCCAGGTGGGGAAAGAGTGCTTTGTTGCTTTGTTTTTTTCGAGAGCGTGGCGATCTCCATGGAGGTGATTCGGATGGCATTGAAGTGATGAGGTTGATGAGATGATGATGTTGATGTCAGGTCGTCTCCTGGCTTGTCGTGAGGTTGCCTTGTGTGAGGTCGCATGGCAGAAGTTTTCTCGAGGTTGGTTGGCGCTTGGGGTTGCTTCCGACGTAAATTCGTTTAATGCACGGGGCAGGGCTAGCCGTCATTCATCACAAAATTACTTTGTGCTTGCGGTGCCGTGGCGATTTGTTCATGGATTTGGTAGCAATCTCGATTCATGCGGTTGCGCTGCACTTGTGCCGTGACGATGCGTGTGCCATATAAAGAATGACTATACTATACCCTCTCGCTTGACCACGCGTGTCTGCATCCGCGGATCAGCACGATCCATTGTAAATTCCACTGCGTTGGCACAGGCACTGCGCATGCGGTGCCGTGCTGATTTTTGTATCGAAAAGTGTGAGTCCGGCAATCTAAATATGTGGGGAAAGACTTGGGCCAGTGAGGGGGGTAAGCATGGCTTTTTTGTTCCTGAATCTCATACATGGGTGGAATGGTCGCGCGAAAGCACGCTTCGCCTGCGTTGCCGTGACGGTTTGCCGTGGCCATGTCTCTTCGCAAGTACATGGTCGCACCAATTCGCACTGCATTTGATACCGTTCTCGGTGGAGGATCATGTCTGAGTCCTCCGCGGCCTCCGTGGGGCCATTGTGAATTCCAATGCGCGGGCCACAAGCTGGCCGCGAAATGTCAACCCTCTGGTGGGATGTGGCGTACGGAAACTGTGCTCGTTGTGCAAATTAATTTTGGACATTTAACATCGACACGTGTGAAATCTCTCCAGTAGTTGTTGGAAATTATGTTGGTCGTGTTGCTGAATCCCTCTTCAACTTAGCCGAAAGCACAGTAACTAGGGTGAAGCAGTTCGGTCATGCTTTTGAATCACGCAGGTTTGTTTTGGGGAAGCATTTCCTCCGGGCTCTTGAATCCCAGTAGATGGGTGGAAGCATATGGTTGCCTGCATGCACGCATGCGATAGATGAATGGATGGTGAGATGATGTCCGACGTTACCTCACTATTCTAAACGCTCTCGGGACATAGTTTTCTGCATCGCTTACCCCAGCATTGCAGAGGAGCTTAATACGGAGCGAAACAGGCTCCGGCTGCCAGATGTCTTAGATCAGATCAGATTTCTTTCTTCCGACGTTGGAGGTTGCTATCGCCCTTTGAGATCTTCTTCTCGCAGAACCACATCCGCCCGGAGTTTCAGGCCTCGAGGGCTGTCACCTGCGCAGAAGCCCGGGCTTTCCTGTCAGGATGGCCGTTCCATCGACGCCGCTGTCGGATGCATAGGCAGGGCACGGCAGGTACTTGTGTCATCCGAGAGTCCGAGTTGCAACACGGTGGGTAGACTTCAGACGAGCAGTGTCGAGATAGACCACGAGAATCGGCTGGAATCAGTGTGATGCGTCCCACGGCTTGAACATGCGGTGCGGAAGACTTGGCTGCGCAGGGACTCTACCGTTTAGCGTTCGAATGTGAGTTGTTGATTCAGGACGATGCAGATACGGCAAGATGGAACTGCGAGTTTCCTTTTTGGCGCAATCATACGCGTTTTCGTCGCGTGTGAAGAAGGCTTTGCTGTCTCGCCCAATCTACATACATACCATGCAGACATCTGCAGACGCAACGACTCTGCGATGCTACGAGTCAATAAACAAGCTGTCTTTGCGGAACACGGACAGGCACCTGGCATTTACTGGTGTTGACGGAGAGCAGAACCGATTTGAATCATGCGCACCCCGAATTTCTGTGCAGTGTGGGTCCGGCACGGCCCCGAGCGAAAGATCTGCATACAGTATACCCTTGAACTTGCCACCTTCGACTACGGCAATGGCAAGAATCGAGCCGTCCACGTGTGTCCATCTGAGACTGGCTGAGCTGTCAGGATCTCGCCGCTTCGAACCGCGTGATGGTTTCGAGGACAGACGTTCTGCAGCATCAGTGACAGCACGCAGACTCAGATCCGGCGAGGACCTCGGATGTCCCGAAAAGTCGTCGTGGTGGTACGCCTGGCTTTTTGTTGATATGTCCACCATCGTGAGTGCATTCCTTTGATCAGCCTGTCTACTGTACCGTGCATTGAGGGGGTGACCGGGTGACCCTTCCCCTCCCCCGCGCTCGTGTCTCGAAGGCGTCATCGCGCAGCTGTTCTGTATGGGACTGTGTGGCCATTTTGCGTAGCTTGAGTTGCCTAGAAGTCACAGGATCAACATGGCCTCGTGCTGCAAAACATGCTGCTGCGAAGCTCGTTCATGTCTGTTGCAGTTCACGAAGAGACATAATTGCCAGGCCATTTAAGACTGGATGCCAAGTCAGTTTGCTGGACGTTTATCCGTCATGCTGTCGACTGCCCAAGCAGATCAGACTGCATTTGAGTTGCACGAGATCGTTTTTATGCGCCAGGCTGCTGTCACCACCTTTCCCAATGATAGAAGTCATTCAGTGGAGGATAAAGCTTCGCGAGGCAGGACTCACACCGGCATGCTCATGTCTTTTTGCGGCAGCTGAGAGGAAGATGGATGTCAAGTGGTTGACGATGATGGCAACGAGCTTTACGGCGAGAGAGAATGGTTCGGCCCTCTGCGTGAAGCAGACAGCTTCGAGAGTGGGAGTCTTCTCGGAGACACAGGTACACCTTGGACAACCGACGATTGTACTGCTTACAGAGAGCTGCAGTGGCCCTCTATCCAAAGCAGGCCGTGCTTCCGCAGTTCAGGGAGCTCCAAACTTCGGTGCCCCGCAGTGAAGGTCAGAGTGCTGGTCAGCGTTGTCCATCAGGAAGAAGGGAGCTGTCGCGAGGCTGTCATGGCATGTCATGAAGACTTGAGCATTCCCAGAATTCTCCGGACCTTCCAGTTCCGCAAATTTCGCTCCGTTGACCGCGGCCGCAGCATCCGCCTTGGCCATCGGGACACGCCGGCAGAAGGTGCAAGATGCGAAGGAGGAGGTTTGCATGTCATGTCGACATTGTATGACATTGCGCCACCTTGCAGGACTCGCCTGATCTTCCCCGTTGGTGCTGGCGGCTGGAGGTTGTGTGGCCTGTGCACATCAGCTTGGATTCGGGAGCACGTACATCCTTTTGGTCCCTGTTTCCAGGTTGGGCTTGCGGAGGAAGTCCTGCCCGCCGGGTCTGCTTTGCCGAGGCCGCTTCTTGACGACTCGAAGAGACACTGGCATAAGCCCAGCCAATGCCATCCGCGCTGTGAACAGCATAGGGCATAGAAGTTTCCAGAAGTCCCGAAGACATGCATGAAGTCATGAAGTGATGAGCATCAGGCCGGGCAGGCGCCGCGATGGCAGAGGCGACGCTTCAGCTCCGGGCTAAGAGAGAGATGCGATCTGTCGCTCCGGGCAGGATGGGCTGGGCGGCCGGCTGGCCGGCGGAAGAACGACAGGCGCGAACGACGCTTCTGGAAGCGGAAGCGCCAGCGCGCCAGTCCTGGTGATCTGGACAGGGATCCTGCCGACAGCGAAGACCAAGCATGGGGTAGCCATTTAGCAAATGCCTCTCTTTTTGTGCCCTCGCCCCGGGGTGAAGCAACAGTAGGAAGGACATGGAAGGGGGGCAAAGATATGTAAGGAGTCATCTTTGGCTGTCAGGTACTGGTCTATGCCACCATGCGTCTGTTGTTTGCCTTGTGGCGTCACTATTCAACAGATGAGCGAAGGTGCCGCTTCAGAGATTGCAATCGCTTGGTAACACATTTTGAGATGGCTTGTTCAGAAAATCATCCAACCAGTGCAGGCAGTCTTTGACCTCTTTGTGATGCCTTGTGGACCAGCAATCCCCGAGCCAGCGTGCGAAGAGCAAAACAAGTTGTCTCAGTTGGAGAAGTTGTTGTTGTGTCTGTGTGTTCGACTGCACGTCGACACTAAACAGCTCAAAAGCATACCCTGCCACAAGTGCCCACGGAATTTCGTTCAGAAGGTTGGTTGCCTCTTGCTGCATTGATATCTCTTTTCATGCAGCCCTTGCACACGCCAACCATAGTTCCCTGAAGTCTGCTGAACCCACATATATGAAAATTTGCACATGTCAGCCGTGTGGGCTGTCTAGGGGCCTCTGCGTTTTGGCGGCTAGCCTCTGGTTTCTCATGCTTTGTAATGCTGGCCACCGTTCGCGAAAGCATGCTTAGCGCCCGCTCTGCCCACAAGGGTGGGCTAGCAATCGGTCTCGAGGGCCCGGGATTTTCGAGATCTACCTCCCGCCGTTTGCCGAGTCTTTGTGCCAAGAGTCGTGCTTCCGGTGTTTGCATGGCAGCGCGAGCATGTCTTTTCAGCACCGGAGCTGTAGCATTGCAGCTACGAGACTTCAATCTTCACTTCCGAGACATAACATGCCGTTGCCTCGCTGCTGATCTGCGGAGCCGCTCGCCATGTCATGTGCACAACTGGCAGCTTCATCTCCAAACCTGTGCACTTTCAAAGCCGGGTTCGCATGCAGTCTTCCGGGCACGAAGATTCTACACAGACAAGCGAACATGAGAGCATGAGAACATTGGTGGTGCCGTGGTCTTCCGTGTCATCCGGACGGGGAGGGCACGGGGGCACGGCGAGTGCCTCCGTCGGCGCTTCGGCCTTGAGAGCTCGACGGCATCGACCAAGCGCATGACCGTCGAGCACCCGGGGCCGTCGCCGTTGGAACTCTTGCCTCTTGCCGGCACCCATCGGCACCCTGTAGCTCCTCCGCTCCACTGTAACCCGACCCCGGGGACCAATCACGCATCGCTCAGCCCTTGAAGATGCGCGGCGGACCTGCTGGGAGCTCGAGCAGCGCCCCCCTTCTCCAACCTGTTCTGGCGTTTTGGAAGCATAAGCGCGCCGTGGAGCGCCGTGGGTCCTGGCGGATACCCCCGGCTGCACTTGGAGGAAAGATGAGGAAAGCATTTGGCCCGGCGGGATGCGCTCGACGTAGAGCCAGAAACCACTGAATGCGTTTCCTTGTCTGCTGTCTGCCTGCTGAGTTACCGTATGTCGATGCCGATGTGCGGAAATGACGGTAACAGCTCCAGATAAATTAGTTGTAGATGACATGAGCCGGGGCAAGTATCTTTTACATTCGCCGCGGCAGGTCCGCAATGCACTACCTGTGGACGACTTCCACGTGCTCTTTAGCAGTTAGCAGTCATAAGCTGGCCCATTGCAGACCCTGCCACGGCGCGCCCGTAGTTACAGGCAAAAAAATCCGAAGTCGGGGACGCGAGCGTCTACAATTATGCCAGCGTATATCCCCAAACAATGAAAGAGCACTGTGTGACGACCATGACGACGTGAAGCCCACGACCACAACCAGGACGACCACGGCGAGGATGAGGAGACACCAGAACACGAGACAACCACAACATTTTCTCCCATAAATGGCGGCGGGAACGCGTCTTGCATGCCTTCCCAAGGATCTTATCGTCGTTCGGGCATGGATGCTCTTCCCAACGGATGAACAGGTACCGGATGCTTGTGGGTGTTGACTGGTATGAAGGAGGCCCTTGCAGTGCATCCTTTGAGACAAAGCATCCATGCCCGAACCGTGATGCTGCCCCTGCTGCGGATGTATCCATGCGACTGAGCACTGAGGTGTCAACGATAACAACATCTTCGGCTCCCAGCTGCCAAGCGGCGTAATTGCCCACAGAAAGAGCTTCGCTTCTATGGTGACGATGACGCTGGCATTTGTTCTGAGTATCTTTTGGGTTGGGGCCCTGGCTACGATTTCGGTTGTGTGATTTTCCGATTGAGAACAACAAGATGGCCGTGCTGCATCCATAAGAGCAGTGGACAAAGCATCCATACCCCAACGATGTGACGACCATGCTACTGGTGCAGTTGCCCCCTCTGACAAACTTGGCCCTTACAGCCGTCCATCTTTCCATCGTTCTCCCATGTCTTCCACAACTGACGGCCGAGCTCCTCTAGAAGCTAGCCCTCCCAGGACCAGAAAAAAAGCATACCGTTGGCAGGGCTCGATTGTGGGCGGCCAGGCGGGCTCCTTCGCCAAACCATGAAACTTGTCCCGAGCCTGCTTGGAAGATGCGGATGTTCTTCCGCAAGCTGAGCCTCGCATACCGGCCGAAGCCTCGCCTCAAGCGCATTTTCGCGTTCCAACAGGGGGACTGGGCTACGCACGCTTCTCCGTGGGGCCGTTGCTGCACCCCCGCCGGCTCGCCTGGCCGAGTTTGACAAATTCTGCGGCCTCGACTCCGGTGCACAAGAAAAATAGAACAGAATTGAGCGTGTGCACAGGGGAATCTGGCTTTGATATTCTGTGATGAGACTTGTGTCTCGAGCAGGTGCTTGTGGAATCGAGGGTGACATGGGGAACGGCTGGTTTTGACGTGCTGTGATGTTAGTGTATCGCTTGTGTGTTTTTCGAGCGAGTTGCTTGTCCGTTGTTTTTTTGGGTGCGGGTGGTCCTTGTGCTATCAAACTGTTATTATCGGAAAGCGCTTACATGCCGTTCGTGCTCATATGTTCGAACTTGCGGACATTGGTTCGTATTTGGTTATCGCGTGTAGCACTCCCAGGATCGCAATACTCGTGCATTTCGGGGCTCGACGGGTCTACAAACGATCCTGCTTCTGTTGGGCGTGTGTCAATACGCTTGCCAACGAGCTCTCCGTGAGCACAGCGTGAGCATGCGCGCATCGAGCTCAATCACGGCAAGACTTGCATCTGGGATGCAGCAGGTGAGAAATCTGCAAACATGTCGGATTTGCGCAGCTAAAGCGAGGAGCCCATCTGGACCGGAAACGGTTCTCCCCCCGATCGCCAAGGCCTCCTCGTCCTCAGCGGCACGCCGCTCGGTGTGGACGAGCACCTTGCAACCATTCTTGCTGCGAAAAGGGCGACGCAGCAACGTTTCCTCCTGTTTCCTCATCCGCATGCTTGTGGTGCGGGATCTGCAGCCTCGCATGCTGCTCGCATGTGCTGCGTTTTTGTGCCGCACCGGGCCAATTGCCTCCTGCGCAACGTGCTTCCCCGCACCCATTTCGCTGTGACGATGCCGCTGTTGCGACGTGCCTGGGCTCTCTTGCCCACTGCGGTGGTTGCACGTGTGTGGCCTTATAAGTAGTTTAGCCCACGGTTGGGAGTCGGGGCGTCGAGCCATCGCTCGTCCTGCTCGTTTTGCAGGACGTTACGCACAGCCGGCTCGCCGGCAGAGGCGATTGTGTCGCGAGGGAGCTCGGGCAGTGTGCTGGCGAGGGCTCCCTGCGCTGCTACGGCGATGATGCAACTCCAGCAGGAGACGTGGGCTGCACGCAGAGCCGAGCGGACGATGGACAGCGTGCGCACTCGCGGCGTGCGCTCTTGTGCAAAATTTGCGCATGGATCCGCAAGAAGGCAGTGGGTTCAGTGCCTCAGCGGCCACCAATCTCGACACAGTGTTGCGGCGCAAGCTGAAGTGCGACGCCAGGTCGAGAGTCAGCCCCTCGCGCGGCCCGCCGGGGCGAGTGCCTGTGCCGACAAGAGCTGGGCCTAGTGCCAGGGTGGAAAACCATTGCACATGATGTCGATCCGCCGCGCATCGGTTACGCGGACCCGAACGACGGCTTGCTCGAGCGGGAGGGCGCGGGAAGTCAAGTGTTGGAGTTGGCACATGCTGCTCGACAAGCAGTCCACGGCATGCAAACACTTGCGGGGCGAGTAAGAGCGGCAAACGCAAGCGGCGGAGCAGGAGTACCCATGCAACTCTGCAGAGGGGCTTCGTGTGTGGGGCGGACCGTGCAGTGTAGCAGTTGCGGGGGCTGGGAGGCATCCCAAGCGGGGATGTGGCAAATTTGGGCCGCGAGGTGGCTCCTGGTTGCTGGCGACTTGTGCTGCAGGAACGGCGCTTGGATGGTTGGCAAAGTGTCGCGCCAAGAAGCCTAGCGGCAGCAGAGCCGTTTAGCAGCTGCCGAGAGCAACCCCAGTCCGCCGAAACCCAAGGCTAGCTGCGAAGTCTGCAGGCCTGCACTGGGACCGCGCACGTGCCTGTCGCAAAAACTGTGTGTGAAAAATACAAACCCACACATTCCGCGCAATGACTTTTCAGCCTTTGGCGCGATTTTGTTTATGCCGCGTGCCCATGCGCGAGTTATTCTAAGCTGCTGCGAAACGGGCTCAAGCGCCTTTGGCGTCCTTGCTTGCATTTCCAGCTGGTCAGGCTTCGAGCTTACAGGCGCGGCTGCCGAGGCTGATTGCGCGCACCGGTCGTGCCTGGCTTTGCCAAGCATTGCCAAACTCTGTTGCTGCCACGCTGCTCGCCCAGCTCTACCATGCTTGTCTCGCGACTCTGTGCGACGCCGTGGTATTGGTGATCAAATCCGCAATCAAGCTCACCATGCGGGAGCTTCGTTCATTACCTCACGAAGTGAGCTTGGGGCGGGTGTGGGGGGTTTTTTTTCGGCTATCCCCCATCTGGAGCTGGGAAAACCCCCTTGCCAAAGGGCCCTGTTTTGGGACAGATTTCGGTCTCTTCGGTACGTGCCCTTTTCGGAGGTTTGAAAAAGAGATATGGGGCTCCTCTGATGCTGCTGATACTGGCCTGAGTGTGCTGTCTGATGCTGCTGATGCCGGCCGTATCGTGTTTGTCTTGCGAGAAGACAATGAGTGTCTGGAAGTACGGCGCCAGGCATGCTGCAACATGTGTTTCCGCCTATGTTTAGCAGCACAGGCGTCTGTGTGTCCCTGTTTGGCAATGCTATGTTGGATCAAAGCTGCTCCCGCAAGTGTTGCTCTCTGCATCCTCCGGTCTGACATTGCCTTCGCCAAACGATGACTGCAAGCACCCGCC